GTCGCCATCCTCATCGCTATCAGAAGAGTCGGGAGATCGAGATGGCGGAACCGACGGTTGCTTGGAAATCGGTGCGCCGTCAGAACGCGCGGGAGGTGATGGAGTATATTCATCAAAGGACGAACGATAAGGTGACGTCAGCCCCTCAGGTTTACGACGCGCCTTCGATCCCCTTGGAGCATCCTCATCATCGTAGGATCCAAATAGTAACTGCATCTCGAGCTTGTAAGGGGTAAGAGCTCGGGGGAGGCATCAGCTAGTGGCGAAGGAGCGCGCGACGGTGGAGAAGCCACGTTACTGCGCTGGGGAGCTGCCGGAGGAGTCGGCGACGCTTGGCGAGTCACCTCCGTACCCTCAGAGTTCGTTGGGATCGCAACCGGTTCCTCTTCCAAGTCCTCGTCATTCACATCTCGCGTTAAGTCCACGACCGCCGGAGGTTGATCGTCCTTCAACGGCTCAGCCTTGGGAGATGTAGCAGGAACGGACGTTGGAGATGCGGGAGACTTAGACTCGGTCGGACGACTTGACACCGAATGCGAACGAGACCTTGGGTGACTCACGGGCGATTTGGCATGGGCCACTGAGGGCGAACGCGCAGGCGGCCGAGATGTCAAGCGGCGAGAAGCCTGGCTGGATCGTGAACGAACGGAAGCAGGTGAGCGCGACGCAGTCTTCTGACGCTTAGACTTCGGCTTGTTCTTCCCAGCCTTGGGTATATGATGACCTCGGCGACTGGGTGTTGAGCTTGAAGCAGCCGCAGGCGATCCTTCGCCAGCATCAGCTGCTGACCCTGCTCTGCTAGCTCGACCAGACGGAATTGGGGTCTTCGCTTCAGATGAATCACCGGAGCTGCCGTCGTCACTTCCATGACGACTACGCTTGGAAGCACAGCTCTGAACTTGTTGAGCAGTCTTGGCCGAAGCTTCAGCAAGGGCGAGCGGATCTTCTTGGTCACCCGCCTCTTGTTGGAATCGCGGAAGAGCGAGGAACGTGTCTTCATCAAGGCGGAGTGTCGAAAGGTCAACCTCGGCAACTCGAAGACCTACAACGGGAAAGAATGAACACGAATTAGTGAACGAGTGATCGGACGAAACATCAAGAATATCAACTGACCTTGAATGGCGAGAGCAAGAGTGTTGGGGTCCAGGCCGGCAAAGCTAACGAACCCTCGGAAAGCGCGATTGACGCGAAGTAAGCGCAAATTGCGGTCTTTCAGATCGGCGATCAGCGCAGCAGTGTCAGCATCGACCCATGTACCCTGAGTGGCCTTGAGCAGCATATCATGGAGCTTGCGAGTGTTTTCAGTGTTCGCACTGACCGTCGTCTTATAGATCTCGCGCACCCTCTCAATCTGCTTGTCCAAGGCGTCGATGATATCCTGCTTCTGCTCGGCGTAGTTCATGGTGAGACGAAGGTTCTCTGTCTGAACATCCATCGATTCCTTACTCTTTTCGAGAAGGGAACCAATGTAAACGTTCGCTGACTTGAGGCGCTTGATTTCCGCTTGAAGCCCGTTCAACTCAGCCGTCGACGTGTTGAGGAGAGGTTTTAGAGAGTCAACTCGAAGCTGGACAAGAACCGGTAGACGCTTAGCAGCAGCAGCTTCCTCTCGGGAAATCTCGAGTTGAGCGGTGAGCTCACCGACTGCATTAAAAAGATCCGGCAATGTGTCGGAGAGAGGTTGAACCGCCGCTAGCGCTTGGTCGAAGCCGAGCGCGTCATTGAAACGACACTGGGTACGAACGTCGCCCTGAAGAGGAGGCGAGATGTTGAGCTGGACTTGGTGCCGTGCCATCAACGTCAAGTACGGAAAGAAAGCAGTCCTCAGGGAGTCTACCGTTGCGTCAGCCGACTCAGCAAGAAGATCGCGCAGCGAATCCACGGTCAACTCCTCCGAAGGCTCGGCGTGAGCTGGAGAAGCTACGGGGACCCGTACCGAGGATTGAGTCGCAGTCGGAAGCGCAGCAGGAGGCGCCGCAGGCGGTGACGCTGGTTCAGGATTCATGTGACGAGAAGTTCTGGACGGTGGCTGAAGACTCGCTGCAGGTGGAGGCTGTCCAGTCGAACGATCAGTGATGACCGGACGAGATTCCTGACGAAGAGAAAGAGGTGATGAGCAGCTGGACGAAGATTGGAAGGAAGGATGGTGATACTTACCACCAAGCGTGCAGGGTCACGACGTCGGTGTGGAAGAACTGCGTCGTACGCACGGTGTTGAGCGTGGTTGAGAGCGCCGCGGGGACGGGGCTCACGACGAGACATGGTCGCACTGTGGAAACGATTCGGAAATGAATGATGTTACAACGGGCACCCGTGGCGTGGCTTTCATTACGACAGGGGCAGTTGTGATGTATCGATTTCTAAGTAATCGCTGAGGTGGCTACATTCAAGTTGCTCAAGCCACGAACGCTCGGTCCTGCGACAGGTGGTGATCACGGTGCCAGATGGTCAAGGACACGTCACTACCGAACACTCGTCGGGTCCGACTATGACCAAGATGTCACTCAAGTCGGGTAGTCCGTATCGGTGACGCTGGATTCGCATTCAGCGGTCAAGAACCGACGGACTACGGTACTACGACTCGGTGACGGTTCGAGCGACTCTTCGGTGGGTGCGACTAGCAGTTGAACGCTCGGCGGAGACCTGAGAAGGCACAAGGACAGTTGAGGTAACTGTTGGCACGTGTAGCGATCCATAACGGATCATAGTTCACTTGATATTTGTACACATGATTAGGATTGCATATTCGAAAGGGTAACACAAATAACAGAACAGAATTTCCACCCAAACACACGAGCGAGGTCCGGCTTCAAGGTAAGCGTCTGGATAAGCTTGTTTGGGTGTGTTATGTCTGTCGGTGGACTCGAAGCTTACTAGCGAGTGTTCATCCGGCAAGGCCAAGTGGGTGGGTGTATTGGCCGATTATATATCGGAAGTTTACGTGACGGCTTTATTGTGCCTACTTGCACGTGTTGGGGAGAGCGAGTTGCCTCCCATATATTCTTCCAGTCGAGTGTTGAACACTCGGCGCCCTCGTAAAAGGCTTACCCGTGCCTGGTACACTTCCGCTGTTGGGACCACGAGGATTCATAACACCTACTAGCTTTGCTCGTGCTAGTAGCGTGTTCATACTTTTACTGGTTGGCCTATATAAGCGATTTGCAGGTCCAGTCTGTCCCGGTGTAAGGGCTGAGTCTGGGTCTTCAGATGACGCCCAACGATCGTTTGCCGTTCTGGTAGACGTATTGTTGTGGGTTTATCCTACCCACTAGTACCGCGGGAATTACTACACCACAGGAACCCGTTATTTTACGGAGAACTCCCGTATATCTTAGGGTATGCAGCCTGCGGTGAACGTCTCCATATTGTGGCCTTGATCACAAGCGTCAAGCTCAAACAATTTTGAAGATCCAGTCAGTTATCACGGACAGGGCGAAGGCAATCAGGATATTTTATAACTTGGCGTTCGTCTTCGACGAGATGATTAACGCTTGAAAGGTTTGGCGCCTGAACTATGGGAACCGTACACGGACAGTGTCAACACTTGCACCCTGAAAATTGACAACAATTGGATCAGGCGCACAATAATACGTGGTGAGAACGTGGACAAATCCGACTTTGGGAGATTAGTTGACATCTACAGTGAAATGTGGGAGATAAAGAGTCTAGATGGCGGGAGAACCTACTCGCAACAACTGAGAGCGGAACCAGTCATGGTGCATTCTACCCTCACGGCTGATCTCGGTCCAATTGGCTCCAAAATGTGAATGAAGTGCGAGAGTGGGTTCGAGGAATGCTGACCGCTCTAATGTTTTGACACGAGCGCGAGTATTGCCATGGCGACGTTCAATGGGAAAACATTGTGTACAGTCCAGTTGGTTAGTACTGGTTCCTTATCGATATGGATAAGTCGCGTCGATTGGATACTAAAGTAATCAGTTGGAGACACCCCAACCACGGCGAGATGTTGCGCTTCCAACACGACTTGTTCCAGCTGGGTGAGCTTTTCGATGACTTCGACGACCATTTTTCTTATACCCGACGAGCTAACTGCAATCCGCGAGATGCTCCAAGTTTCGCTATGGACGCCTGAGTGTGAACCGCAGCACTCGTGCTGGGTACGATGAACTAGTAGGACACTTCGCGACTACAACAGATATATTCTCTCGATTCAAATCTGAAGTTTTTTCTTCTTCTAGAACAGGTTGCTGAGTCAGCAATGCTAACTAATATTAATACATGGAGTAGTAGTACTATAACTTCACAGAACTTGAAGTGGTAATACTCAGTTTTTATTGGCTAATTCAAAATGTCAAAAGTTGCGCTCCATATTCACAATCCGATGCTGCAACTCTTCGCTGCCGACGACAAGTTCCCGGACGTTGTGGCGCAGCTAGAGACGCGCGGGTGGCGACGTCTCCCGTTCGTAGGCTGTCCCAAGTTCGACCTCAAATGGACTAACTACTCCAAAGTTGCGTGGGGGCGTGTGACGTCCCAGCAGATCGTTAATCACCTGCAGAACTCCATAATCCTATCACAAAAAGACCAACTCACCCAGTTGCTGTACGCGCGAGAAAATGGAGATCAGACCCAGGTAGATCATTACCTTCCCCGGACGTTCGAGCTGCGTCAGCCACTAGACCGAAGACTACTTAAGTTCTGGTTCTGCTACAGTCAAGCGGTCGGAGTGCTAAAAGATAGTCTGAACGAGAGCGTGAAGGTTGATGAAGCCCAAGTAGGAGCTGCAATACAGTTGGCCAGGACTGTCATTGCTAGTAATAGTTTCTTAGAGTGCTGGAGGAAGGAGGAGGCATTTAATGGGGTGATGCTAGGAGATGCTACGGAGTGGCTGCGCCTTCTGTCGATTGATTTGGAATTGGAAAAAGCCTCACTTCACTGCCATAACAGACGAGCGGTTGAGGAGATTTTGAGGGAGTTGGAGCGGAGAGATCCACAATTTCACGCGGTTGGGAGTGCTGACAGTAATGTGTGGATCTGCAAACCGTCAAATCTGTCGCAAGGACGAGGGATTGTATTGTGCAATTCCTTTAGAGAGATAGAGGAGCTCGCGTCGTGTAGCAGTGGACAAGATGGCCAAGAGATGGGAGAGAAGAGGAAATCGCAGACCAAATGGATCATACAGAAGTACGTTGAGCGTCCATTGCTGCTGCAAAATGGTCGCAAGTTTGATATTCGTCAGTGGGTGCTGATTACCAAGCTCTATCCACAGCCGACGGTGTTCTGGTTCTACAAAAGCTACTTGCGCTTTTGCTCTCGTAGATTTGCGCTGGCCCGGCAGCATGATCGATTCGTGCACCTCAGCAATTACTCAGTTCAGCAGTATTTTGAGCCAGACAAAATGGGCGACTTGGGTCAAAAAGACTCGGAGGCGGCTAACAAGGATCCATTTGAGCTCATGTGGTCGTCAGAGAAGTTTCGGGATACGCTGAGGTGAGCATCTCGACCGTGTAAGTTCTTTTATTTTGCTTATTCTCTCGGTGAATACAGACAAGAACACGGAAGGGATATCTGGAATGACACAATCCTTCCCCAGATGCAGAATATTGCACGGTTAACACTGGAAGCTGCACTGCCAAAGCTCAACGTTGTCGGGGTAAGTATCAATGACAGCAGGTACATCCGACACAGCCTAACCGTTTTATATTTCAGCGAGGTTTCGAGTGGCTTGGGTTCGACTTCCTCGTTGACGAAAACCATCACGTATGGCTACTAGAGGTGAACGTGAGTCCTGATGTCAGTCACAGCACTACTGTCACCGCTGAACTGGTACCCAAGGCCACTGCAGACTTGTTCAACGGTTTGTACAGTACCTTCAGTACATGGCTAACACAGACTAACTGTTCCTACTCCGCAGTGATTTTGGACCCAGAAACATCTCGATCTCCAGACAATGGATGGCTGCCATTCTCACTACAATCTCATCATTAAAAAGTGCCAACACAGTGCTGCAAACCTACGCGATCCCTGCTCGCAACTCGTTTTGCAGAGTGCCATTCTCAAGCCGTACACTCTCCAGATCAGCCAACACATTGTCCAAATGGGTGCTACTGTCACGCGATTCAAGCTGCGAGATCCAGTTCTGCAGGTCACGCGCTGCGTTTTCCTTCTTTCCGACATCACCGACGACCAAAATGAGCTCTTCGAACAACTCGCGTACCTGCGCAAACTTGCGATAGCACTCGACATACGCTTCCGTCTTCGTGCTGCTGGTGCTCTTGCTCTTACTGGCTGCACTGTACAGCTTCTCTTCAGCCACTGCTTCGGTCCGTTTGAGCTTCTCCGACGCAGTATTCAGTTGCTTTTGAAGCCCCTTGATATCGTCCAGAATCTTCGCAATATCCTGCTTCTGCTTGTGAACTTGCTTGATGATATCCATGATACGTGACGTGTACATGCTGCGAGTCATGGGACCATCCGAGTCTTTCTTACAGAGCTTTGCCAATTGTCGCTCTTGGACTCTTTCCAGAGCCTTCACACTTTCCATTTTGGAGTGGATAATGCCAGTGATCTCCAGCATCTCGGTTCGGAACGCCTTAATCTCGCGAATAAGCTGTCGACATCGAGCTTTGCGACTGGATTTCTGACCTTCCAACGTAGCGTATTCCGTGAGTAGAGGCTGACGAGCGATCTCCATCTGCTGCGCTATCTCAGCTTTCTTCTTTGCGTTCGTCTGGCAAATTGCTTCTAACTTTGCAATGTTCGCTTGAGCTTGAGGAAGCATCGCCAGAAGTTGCTTTTGTCTTGCGAGTTGTTTCTGTACTTCTTGTCTGGTGGTTTGTGTCTCAAGAACATGCTGCTCGACTTGCTGTAGTTCAGAACGTTCACGATCGAGAACTTTGCGCATCGTAGCAATACGGTGCTCTGTGTCATCTACCTGCTTCTGAGCTTCGTCTAGTGATTGTTCCTCTTTTTGGTCTCCTAGTACGACGATATTTTCCGCGTTGGCTGGACTTGCTTCAACTCTGGCTGAACCAGCTGATTCTGTCATCGAGCATTCCTTGATCACGGCGTCGATAGCTCCTGGTTGTGGGGTATTTAGTGAAAATGGAGCGTCAGGAAGTGCACTTGAAAGGAACGATGGAGGCTGAATAGTAGCGAACTCATCGTCCTCTGCTTTTGCTTCGTGTGGAGTTAGGAAGCCACTCTCACCAGTGCTCTCAGCACCCTTCAGATGATCATCCACCTGTCCCTCTTTCAGCTGAGTATCCATCTCTTCCTCCTCATATTCATCTTCCCGAAGGAACATGGTGGAGCCACGTTTTGCTACAGCTAGAGCCTCCAATAGTGACGTTGGTTTAATGGCATCACTCGGGAATCCCTGAAACAATTCGTGTGTCGTTGTGCTGGGTCTGTTCCACGATAATTCAAGTGGTGAAGTCTGTAAAGGCAGCCGTTGAAACCCTCTCAGCCCCTCGACATCCTGATTCGGTAGCATATGCAGCGTCGTCTCTCGTTTCCAATTGGAGAAAATGTTTGCCAATTGATCATTGCCCAGAACTGATGCGGCAACATCCGATCCAGCTCCTATAGTGCCCAAACCTTCATTTTTGCTAACTTCGTCTTCATTTTCCTCAAGCTTGGACCTCGGCAACTTCCCCACCAACCACGATAAAATGTTTCTTGTCTCCTTCTCAGTAGGATACAGAAAGTGGTTGTAGCCGCAGTCTCCAGCATACCCCAGCTCCTGCAAAAATTACAATAGAAGTGAAATTTAACAATAGACCCATACAATATTAGGTATGAAATACCTATATAAACTATGACATACTTTAAGGATATTGGCGAGCTGAGAACCCACGCGATGCCGCGCCGCGACACCTACTGGTGCCTTGGCCTCTGCGCACGGGAGAGCGAAGGTCACGCCGTCATCTGAGTGCTGTGAACGCGCTAGGAACTTGAGCACGAGGACGATAAGTGCGTCGGACGAAAGATCCGCTACTGTCCAGGACGTGTCGGCTTCTAACCTGATATTTACCGGAGGACAACGTTAATATTCATGCAAACCAAAGCTCAACACATTAGAGAGCAAGACACATCTAGTCATACACCAGTGCATACGCACCAGCCGCTCTGCTGTAGCGCCGCAACGATGAAGGCGTCGGCTTCTGCCATCGCCACGATTATTATTTCTAAGAAAATGGCTTCAACCTCCACAATCTGATCCAAAGAAAATAGCCTCCACAAACCGATTCACTGACCGTTCAAATCTAATAAAGTATCTTATCGCGACGCTTCGTGCGCACAAGTCTCCGTAACGGGCAGTCCCCATTCACCTTCGGACCATGCAGCAGCCCGAGAGAGAGCCCCTTGTCCACGACCATGAATCTGCTGCTCCCAAGCCGCAAGACGAGCAGCAGCCCCATCAAGACAAAGAAGAGAGCGAAGTGCAGCAGCTGAGAGACCGTTTGGCAGCGCAGGAGCTATTGGCACAGCAGCTACTAAAGCGCGAGCAAGAGCGTGAAACGGAGCGTGAGTTCATGAAGAGGAGCGTGCTGTCCTTACAGCAGGACCTCCTTCGTCTCATGAACATCGTGGACCTGCAGATGCAGATCCCGTCCATGCATATGCAAATGCAGCTCTCGCCTATGGCTACAGGCGTCGAAATGGCGTTTCGAGGACTCTCGCCGCGGTTCTCAGCCAGAGGCTGCATGGGTCCAAGCCCAACAGGATACAGAGTAGCCAAAAAGCGACAGGCGGAGAGTGACGAAGCTCAAAAAGTAGTGGCTCTGGTCTCGCCTACACACAATGCAGCCATGTTAATGGACTTGTCACCGCAAAGTAAGCGTGTCAAGACGTCATCGACGCCAAATAATAAGCTGAGTAAACGTCAGTGGAGCCCTGAGGAAGATGAAGCATTGGAACTCGCCATTCAAACAACGGGCCCAAACGATTGGTCGGCTGTCGCTCGGCTGCTGCCTGGACGTTGTGGGAAACAATGTCGGGAGCGATGGGTGAACCACTTGAGTCCGGCAGTGAAGAAGGAGGCGTGGACAGAGGAGGAAGACGAACTCATCTTCACCACACGCGACCGCATTGGCAATCGCTGGGCGGAAATCGCTCGTTTGCTGCCTGGACGGACGGACAACGCGATCAAGAACCGTTACTACTCCACCATGAGACGTCGCGGACGTCAGCTACGCAGCAACAAGAGCAGGTCCCCGGATTCAATGTCCGAGACCGATGACAAATCCGGCGTCTTGTCAGGATCCCCAGTGTCCTCAGAGACGAGCGCTCCTGAGCTCCCCATGGGAGACATCTAAGCGACGAAAGATGATGTGTATTTTTCACATGTATAAAAAAAATTAAAGATACTTGCTTCTTCAAGGCAAGAAACTTTCTTGCAAGATTTAATTCCGTTGCGTATGAACAGTCGGTCACTATCGGAGGTCGTTGTGTAAGTCTCAAGAATGAGTAGACCTACAACGCCAGCTACTGCATCAACGTCTTTGTCAGCTTCAGGTGGATCAGGTAAGTTCCGATGGCGCGTGGATGCCGAGAAGAATGTGGTAGTGTGGAACTTTGAGCGTCGAGGTTGGGCCAAGACCGAAGGAGACGACTGGAACATCTACTGGGCCAGCAAGACCACAATAAAAAACATATTTAACCCGGAGACCGGGGTACGCCTAGTAGACGGTCAATATGTCAACCATTTTCCAAACCACTACGAACTCACTCGCAAAGATCTCATGGTCAAGAACATAAAGCGATACAAGAAGGAGATGCTAGCAGCACAAGCCACAGCGTCTGAAGCTGGTAGTTCAACAGCGTATCCTATTGAGTCACTAGACTTTTTCCCGATGACGTACACGCTACCTGCAGACTATTCGCTGTTTGTCGAGGAATTTCGACGCAATCCGAACGTCATGTGGATCATGAAACCCTGTTCCAAGGCTCAAGGTAAAGGGATTTTCATCATCAACAAGCTGTCACAGACCAAGAAATGGGCGAATCAACGGTGGACGAACATGCCGATTAAGGAGGGATATGTAGTCTCACGGTACATTGAAAACCCGTTGCTGGTCGGTGGCAAGAAGTTCGATCTGCGTATGTACGTACTAGTACTGTCATATCGACCCATGCAAGCGTTGGTGTATCGGGAAGGATTTGCTCGCTTCTGCAACGTGAAATACTCTGCTGCCGTGGATGATATGGACAACCCGTTCATGCACCTCACGAACGTCGCGGTGCAGAAGAACAACGAGGACTATAACAGTAACCACGGAGGTAAATGGAGTGTAGCGAATCTCTGTCTCTACGTGGAAGCCACACGTGGTCGTGGAGCGGGTGAAAAGCTACTACGAGATATTCATGGTGTCATGTTGCACGCACTTAAAGCGGTACAGAACGTGATCATTAACGATCCGCACTGCTTCGAGTGCTATGGCTACGATATCATTGTGGACGATAACCTTAAGCCCTGGTTGGTGGAAGTGAATGCATCGCCATCGCTGGCTACCACAACACGAGAAGATCGCAGTATGAAGAGTCGACTGCTTCGAGATGTACTGGAGTTAGCTGTGGCAGCAGATGCTGAACCCGATCAACGCCGAGCTGTCCTTCCACCACCCACACTCAGTCCAACGTCAGGCTTCTCGTGGCTTCTTAATGAGACAACTCAACTCGAAGCTGATCGATTGAGAGCTGATGCACTTCGCAAAAATGCTAAACGAGCATCAAGCGCTCAATGGCGGTAAGGAAAATGAAAAAAAAAACCTTTGGACTCAAAATTTAAATTCTGCAATACTTCGTTCTAAGTGAAAGAATAATCGGCAGTTTTTATGCGATTTTTTTGGAAACGAACTATTCTAAGTCGCGCTTAACTGTCGACGCCTGCAGTGAGCAAGCCACCGTTCAGATCGATAGGATCAACATGGGATCTGAGAGGAGATTAGAGAGGAAGCTTCGTCGGAAGGAAGAGAAGAAGGGTCTTGTCGATGGTAGTGAAGGTTCCAGTAAGGTCGATACAGCACCGAGTGATCTAGAAGACCCGACGGTGCCAATAGAGGCCGCTACTTCTGAAGGATCTGCTATTCCTGCAGAGTCGATAGACCAGGGAAAAGCTCAACGGGTAATGCCGATCGGGGAATTACCTTCTCGTCAAAAACCGAAGACGGGGAAGTCTCCTCGCAAGAAAAAGAAGAAAGTGGAGGAGGAGCTGGAAGCCGAACCAGTTGAGTTTCGCATTAACGGTATTCTAGTTGACCGCGATGTCAAAGGAGGAGCCAAGAAGGAGTGGATGGGCGTCTACATGGTTCTCTTCAGAACGAGTACACCGATGGGTCAGCGAGTGGCCTTTATCCTCATCGGTCTAGTGACGATCAGTGTCTCGGTTGGTACGTATTCCATTTCCAAAATTTTGCTTTTACATATGCATTTCTTACGATCTCACTTTTTTTAATACAATGTAGCTGTCCTGGACAGCGTGGAAGAAATTCGGTACGCAGTCTTTTGAGAACAATTAACAGCAGTATTTAATCGCTTTGCTTTGATCTTTAGAAATCAAATTGGTGACTACCTGTTGGCAACCGAGTTCGGCTTCACGATTCTGTTCACGATCGAGTATGGACTTCGCATTGCGTGTCTGCGGAAACCAAGCAAGTTTATCTTCAGTCTCTTAGGATTCGTGGATATGTGCGCTCTTGTTCCTTCATACGTCGGCTACATCTTTCCTGAAGCACGTCCACTGCTGCACTTGGCTGTACTGCGTATCTTCCGTGTCATGCGAGTCTTCCGGTTGTTGCGACTTGCTCGATTCGTCGATGCGAGCGCTGCGCTCACTGAAAATATTGACACCAATCGACGAAATATTGCCGTCTTCCTCGTCGCATTGTTCACGGTGATCCTCGTCATTGGGTGCGCCATGTACCTTATCGAAGGTGACCGTCAATTCGGAAATATCCCCGTCAGTCTGTATTGGACTGTGGTGACAATTACGACCGTGGGGTACGGAGATATTTCGCCACAAACGATTGTCGGACGGATTCTAGCCACTCTTGTCATGTTTGTCGGCTACGGAATCATCGCCAGCCCCACGCTGCTAAGTGCGCCACCGTCTGCACCAGCTACGTCAGAAATTGTCGACGCTCCCAAATGTACCAAAGTACTCGAGTGCGTACGATGCTTCCAGAAATTTCACCAAGAAAGCGCCAGTTTCTGCTGCATGTGCGCGGAACCACTGAGAAAGCCCGAGGTTAAACCTTTAAGGGCAAATGGAGAAGAACGGAGACGGGTGCCGAGGCAACGAGCTTCGATTACAGATGGGAATGGATTGTCAAAGACTCCTACACTACGTCCAGCGACTTGTGAAGGTACTGGTATAAACATTTCATCCATTGATGAGACGAAGCCTGCAGAACCTGTGTTTGCTCCAAGCGAAGAAATGAAACCCGCAGAAACTACTACCGCAATATGCTAACTATATATTTAGTAATCTGGCACGCCAGATGAATGATAAGGCATGAATAAATAAACCCTGGAACAAGAAGTGTACAAGGAATGCTGATGAGATTCTCTGAAATTTTGTTAAGATTGGATGCTTCGACGCCTATTGTCACCATCAGAATGCATTTTTGCAAATTCATATTGCCAACAACGAGTCTGACGTAAGCTCAGTGTATTTGAATCGAGTTACTGAAGATTTTTGTTCTGATCTGTATGGAAATAGTTACGGAGCTAGCATTATTAGGTCTTCTTCCGAGCGCAGCTTAGTGAGAGACGAATCGAGATTGATGACACCCAGCAGCTTGCTGAGTCTTACTACGTAGACTTTTGTCCAAGCGCTCATCGCTGCAATCTTGTGCACCCGGTAGAGATTCACGTCCTCGGATACCTGTTCAGAAATTTCAAGCCTTAGCGTGCATAACCAGAATACCACAGATTTGGGTATTTGTGTTACCTGAGGCGGATAGCTCTCCACGGGTACCGCGGTGAATGCGTACTCATGAAATGGTGGACCCAATTCAAGCTAAACCATTAAGAGCATCTTGTCAGTTCTACCATTAAGCGATCAAAACGAAGTTAAGTTGCCGTACCGGACTCGAAAGCGAAGTGGCGTCTTTCGGCTGGAAATCAACAAGTGAATAATCCTCAACCATTGCGCTTTTCTTCTTGTCAATGTCAAGAATCTTCGACACTAACAGTTGAACTCTCAGCGAAACGTTTGGATCCTTGGCATCAGGCATCTAAAAGTTTTTACATTAGTACACAACATATCAGCTTTCACCGCGGTAACCGTACCTGCTTCCGATGAGCTGCAATGAATCGAGCGACAGCAATCTCAAGATCATAGCGTCGAATACATCCCTACACAAAAGATGCCCGTCAGCGTCTACCCACAAAAGAAAATTCTAGCCTACGTACAATGAGCAGTTGAGTTTCGGGGTTATCACAAACCGGAAAATACTCTTCTTTCTTGTGCGTATTCTGGAAATCGCAACATGCTCGTTAGTTTATTTCCAATCCACACTGAATCATTATTTTGTTACTTACCAGAGCTTGAATAGCTTCGTCGTATGTCGTCTCCCTCGTAAAGAAAACCGGTACAGGACTCATATAATCCACTGCAATCTTCTGACTCAGCACGTGTTCGTTCAGATCATAGCAAACCGAGTGAAGCCCCGCCCAGCCAGCCAGAATATCGTAGATAGAAGGCGAAATAGCACCGCACACAAAGTACGATACAGTACACGCTGTCATAACGGGGACCATGTGACTCAACTGAGACGTAAGTTCGAAGAAAATCACAGCTGTTGACACTGTCTGAGTAGCTGACGCTGCAAAGCACGCGGCGCCCACAACTGCATACGTAGCCGGTGACTGTGTCGGATTCCAGTATCTCATTAGGGTTTCTCCATACAGTCGGCCAACTGCAGCTCCGATTGTGAACAGAGGACCGAAGACCCCCACCGAGATCGGAGCTCCACACGGCAGTAGAGATACCATGAACTTCAGGATAATATAGACGAAGAGCGTCACTTGTGGGTATTCTGAAATCTGTTTCCATTGAGGAAAACTCAGATCTTGGTCACGGAATACTTCGTTGACAATCGACCGATCTGAAAGGCGCATGATGCCCAGAGGGTATGTTAAAATCGTCGTAGCCACACAAATTGTGACGATGTGGACTGTTCGGCGCTTAAGTGAAGGTCCGTTAAGACCTAGCTTAGTGAATAACATCATCTGCGCCCATCGAAGCACCACAGCGAGACGACAGAAGATACCAGCTCCAATCTGAAAACAAGAAATTAGGTGGATAACTTAGAAGGAATGTAGAATTTAGGACGTACGCCAGTGACCACTCCTAACAGCACAAAGGCGAAGATCTCGTAGTCCATATCGAAGCCAGCGAACGTGGTGCGTTCGAAAAGTACATCTCGTTTGATAAATGTGATGACGTTGAAGACTAAAATGCACACAGAGGAGCAAATAATGCCTTCCCACAAACATTTGATCTCGTAGTACTTGGCCGTGACTTCAATACTGAACAACAATCCACCCAGTGGAGCACCGAAATTTGCAGTCGTGCCACAAGCAACAGCTACATAAACAGTATCGTAAAAACTGTCAGCACTTGCACATTATGGTACTAAAAAGCAACATACCAGCTCGAATGAAGTTGTAGTTCTCCTGGCCAAAGTTAACGCGCCGAAACAGCGCCAGTTTATTCATCAGGTAGCCGATCATAGCCATGAGGTGGGTAAATGGTCCTGCTCGACCAACTGACAGCCCACTGCCCGAAGCGATCACTGTACTCAGCGATTTCGCTACGAGAGTGCGAAACGACAGCATGTCTCCCGGATTCTGGTATACCCCTGCAAATAATGCACGCATAACGGGGATCCCAGAGCCATCGGATGCAGGAGAGATGAAGTATCCGCAGCAAGTTGCGAGCATGGCCAATGTCACACACCAGCACAGCCAGCACAGGAAACCGGCAAAAGAGTCCGTCCCCACAGACTCGATGATAGCACGACGGAACCTGAAGAGAGTTCGGACCCAATTGTCGACCAATAGCCTACAACCAAACAAAATATTTTTCAGTATCTACTTTAGGATGTATGTATACTTTCTAGAGCTCACCCGTAGGCTGCAGCCATGGATCCGAGAAGAACCAGGAAGAGCCACGTGATCGGAGAGTTTGGGAGTTGCTTGCATAACCGAAGAGAACGGACGCATAGCTGCCGCATAGTTAACTCGACCAGTGGTCGTTCACCCCGCAACAGCTTGTCATAGTGCTCTGGCGAGTTCGCTCGAAACCACACATCTGCATAAGCCACGATTAAACATCAGATACGTGATCACAGAAATCACGAGCTAAAGTGTTCAATGAAGCACCATAATTTCCACGCATGGCTGCTACTTAAAGGACAACTCGATGTTACTACGAATACTTGGAACCCGGCTTGGTCAGTCGCTAATTGATCAAGAGTACTGCAACGTTGAATCGAAAGGTCGGTGGCTAGCCAAGAGCTCGACCGTTGGTCTCCGACGTCCGTTTCAACGTTCATGAACAGGTTTCCAAAAGGGCCCTCATTCATCCAAATCAACTTGGTATGCAGCAAGGTTTCACTAAACTCATCCCTTTTAACCTTAAGCCATAAAATTTGAAGTCGTACCCAAGATGTTGGCATTAATCTGACATGCAACTTCACTTCACACACTCACTATACTACCTACATACTGCATCAATCTACTCGACAAGGACACTGTCCGCAACGGGGCTTGCTGCCGTCAAGAGATTGTTCATCACGTTAACAATCAGAGCGGATCCGCGACTAGCGAATTGAATTACTAGCTCCTGCATCTGCACGTAGCCGCGCTCACCGACGAAGTTTTGCGACAGATCCAGCAGTGTCAGACGAGAAGTGCCATCACGCGGAAGAGCAATGGCATCATAGAGATCCATAACGCCACCATCCGAGATGCAGTTGCCCACAAGGGACAGTGTGTGTAGTCGCGGGAAGTTGCTGGACGGACCTGCCAACACTGTGGCAATCTGACTCGTAACATGGTCCTTAAGTCCTTCAGAATAGCAGAAGTTGAGCGAGAAGACCTCAAGTTTGGGTAATTGGGCGTTGCTCAACGCATGCAGCATACTGCGCACCAGTACATTGCGAGCAACCAGCGTCTTCTCATCTTGAAAATTGAACTGCTGCGCTTGCTTCCGACCCGATAATGAAAAACATTTTAAGTTCGGAAATCGTTGAAAGAACGTCGAACGGATCGACGACGACAGCTTCATCATCCCCATAGTTGTAACCTCAATAGTCCCCACGAACGCAGGCAACTGAGAAGAGGCCTGTGAGCACGTAGCCGCACAATGCAGCACATCTTTGGCCTCCAAGAACGAGCACACATGTTGCAGTAGATCGTGATTGCCATAAAAAAACAGCGGACTGGTGGTTGCAGCGTCAATATTCTCAATTCGAGCGCGCTTCCCAACGGATTGCTCGTCCGTCGAGCACTTGCGCTTGCGTGAGGAAGCACTGTCCATCAATTCCATAGCAAACGCCGCATGTTCCAGTGCTGCGAGGTTGTTCAGGTGGAGCTTGACCACGAGTGAGTGTAGACGTCGACTTAATGTCTGCGGGTTACGGTACTCCCAAGCCGAGAAGGCTTGGCTGTAGAGCGCTAGCTCAGCACGACGTCCGATGTACGAGATCTTGGCGTCCACTTTACCGTACTTGGACTTGAGTAGCATCAGAATATGGAGGAGCACGGTACGTCGAGCGCTGAGGTCGATACTGTTGTGCCAGCTCTGCTTGGTATCGGGGCGGGTGTTGAGCAATGTTGAAGCGGAGGATGAAGAGACGGCGGAGGTACTCATGATGAAAAGAGAGTTGATACAGGATAAATACTAACGTCAAAAGAGAGCGCAGTAAGTGAAAAGACTCCGGACTTGGCACGGACCGAAGTAAAACGGAAATGCCAAGACTGCAAGTGAGTCAACGACAAGATGCAGTTGACCAGCAGCGGCCATTTGACGCAGCGCTCTCCCACCAGCAGGTGCCGCCCAGAAAGTCGCGGAAAGAGCTTGTCCCACTCACACAAGTCACAGATTGCCAACACTGACTTGTGGCATAGCATGCCTAGATAGAGGTCTTGTTATATGTGTTGTTCTGAAAATTCAGACAATATTCATTCATGAAGGTAATATCACTTATTCAAGTAATGTATTTGTAATAGATTATGTAGACCAAGAAACATGCAGCAGCAATACTAGCAGTTATGGGCGATTTACGCAAAATCAACGGATTTTAAAAAGTTGGGCCCGACTCAAAACCAGCTGGACGGATGGCATGTGGTTCGACCGAAAACGGAGCCCGTCACGCTGCCTGCTCCATTGTTGCCATGCCACCCACATAGTAAGCAGAGAATGATACTGCTGGGTTGGCGTGCGGGTGATCTGTCGACCAAGGATATTAATGGGGAAGTCTGCGAGCATTACGTTATGGGTACAAGACGTCTTCTGTGTCACTGCCAAAGCACTCACCACATGGGGAACAAGAGCGCCCCTGCTCCAGCTGCGGGGTGGTCATCTTGCCATCTTGGTGTTCTCCTATTGAATCACAGACGTTCACTGAATACATGCATAAAACCTGTTGCGCTGCTGCAATTTGGAAAATCACGAGCTTCATGAAATTATTCGCCGGATGATGTCAGGAAATCCAACCTGCTGGTTATCAGTAGAATACAATAATAGCCTAGAAATCACGCCGTTGCATATGCGGCATTAGTTATGCCACTTGAGCGAGGGTATTGCAGAAAACTATGCTTCACGTGCACACCCTATTTGCTTTTGGCTTGTCAACCAAACGCAAATTGTTGTAGGATGTTTTAGGATTTTGAAACCAGTAAGAATATCCACGAGCGGGGATCTCGGCTATTACCTCCGGACTCTGAAGGCAATAGTTAGGCTGACAAAACTAGACCCACCCACGACGTGTAACTCGATGAAAGCAATGGCGATAACTTACTTCCGCTGGTAGATTCGATGGACTGTCCAACGAACTTGAGCTATAACTTCAACGTTTTGCCACCTGACTGACAAAAAAAATCAAAAATTCAGAATTAGGACCAAAATGGACTCAAAGAGCTCACTCTTGTTTCTGCCATAGTGTGTATTGTGTATACTCCACTTCTGTTGGGTACCCAAGCGAGAAAAAAAAACAAATCAACACGTACCCTTTGTATTCCTCCTGGATAAAAGCAAACTTATCAGCTTTTAACACAGAGAGTCCGAAGAGATCACACCCTCTACAGCCAACTACACCACATATTAATAGCTCTTCTCGTAAAGCCTCTAGTCACTTCATCCTACTCCGTTTTTATCAAGTTCTACCAAATTTACTATTATTGTCGTAGCCTACGCGTGCGGGAAAAACCCCTGTAAAAATACATCGATTTTTTTTTAATTGCGGCATCTGCTTAAAAGCCGATTGATTCCGACACACCGTCAAATTACCTATGAAAAAGTACTGTACTCAATCGATGGGTAACAATTCTTCCGGATTCTATATCCAGAGTTTAGGAGGCGAGTCATTCTAACCCAAAACTACTGAAAAAAATATACTCAGAAACCCATAATTATTCAAGAAATCTGAAGTTGAAATAATTACTGTAGACTTTGAATTTGCTGTTATACTAAAGGATTTGGGCTGGTAGTGCTGAGTACTTGGGCTGCGCGTAGGTTGCAAAAGCAAGCTACCTAAAGTAGTTTTTTCTGGACTGCTGTGCTATTCAATGAAAACTCATACACGCATTATCAAGAAAAAGCACTTTCTCGAAGTGAGCGAGAATATGTATTGACAGCCTTAGCGTATTCGGCGGTTTTACACACTTGGTTCTTCGATATATCTGCAAGGTTGCTTGGTTGGTGGGAACGGATTAGTAGTGCCGAGACCAGTTCTGTTCGACCTTTAAAAACGCCAATAACTGGATAAGCAGTGTTGCTGTATACGTGCAGAAGATGCGTTGCGCTATCTGCTTTCGAATGACACCAACTTTGATCAAAAACTAAGATAGTGAATGTATTCTTCGGCGGTGCGCGCTACCTACTGAAGCCGCTGCATAAACCACCGCTTTGCATTTTTGAATTTTGTAATCCAGATTGTGAATTTCATAGAAGAACTAGATAACAGCCTCATCGTCATGAACTACGCATGAAGCAGATGCTGCAGCTGTGAGCAGGTACATGAGATGCATGTAGCATACTTAAATATTACTAGGGTCTGCTTTGCCTGGAATAGCTTAAAGCAAACAATATAGAAGACTTGTTTCGCAGTCTTCTGCACCAGAGAAATCCTGAGGAGACGCTTTCTTTTCTATTACAAAATCGCTCCCTGCCAGAGAAAGCTCAAAAATTTTAGATTTGTTTTGCGGTTTTGTATGCATGTGCTGTGTACATGTAGTATTGCTGTCACGTAGAGTAAGAGGATGAAATCCTCTTGGAGTACCCGCACTCTGAAGAAACGCAACAGGCGCCAGAGAAGGACCCAACGCAACCGCAGGAGTAAGAAGATCAGCGAGGATGAAGAAAGAGCCATGACCAGCAGGACCAGTACAACAGGAAGCGAAGACAGCCGACGGACGATGAAGGTCAGCGGGACCAACTGGAAGATGCAGAATGTCGATGGGTGACAGACGTGCGGATGTGAAGCCCCGTGGCAGGTCGCCGTAGTTTGCATATATAGGAAGTAGGAGGTCACTTGAACATTTGCCGTGAAGCGCACGAGTGCGAGCGGAAGAGTCGACACCGGTCTGGTGGAGACACAGCCTAAAACAACAACAATAAGTCGTTGACAACGCTCAACTTGACTGTGAGTGGACGATAAGAACGTACAGAGAAGAGAAAGAGTTGGCGGGTTTCGAGAAGGAGCCCACAATATCTTCGCGGTATCTGCAGCCCGTGCCGAACGCTGGCAAGCCTAAGAGAGGGTAGCGTTTAGCCCCGGCACCCCTGTTCGGAGGATCTTGTTTTATCTGTACGAGTCTACTGTTCTACGGAGCTCAAGGAGTGCATACTTGCTGCCGTGTGTGTGCATGTGTAGCTACTAGTAACTGTATCCTTAGAGCAGTAAGTGTGTAGCCACTCGGACACCGTCCTCTGATCAGGGATAGGACTGACGAGCACTACGGGACATCGGAAGTGAGCAGCGAGTGCAGAGAGAAGTCTTACTGTAGGAAAAATACCCTACTATTCTGAAGGTGGTGCAAACTGCAATGGTTGCACGCATCTAACATCGCAAAATTTGAGTTAACGTTGAGTTATCCTTAGTAAAGAGTTGTAAAAAAAGGATAGCTCAAAATATTGCTGGAATCTGCTGCGCTCACTCAATGGGACGGGAGGCGATGCTACCACCGAATCTAGGATGAAAATTCGGTGTAGATTTGGTATTTTTTTACACCAAATTTAGCTTAGGAAAAATATCCAACACCAGCATTATGATATACTTCACCACGTATTTACTAAACATCACCAGAGATTTGATCGACAGCACCAAATCATGATTGTGTACAAATCACCAGCAAGTTTAACACAATCACCAGAAAAAGTGTTTACCTCACCAGAACAATAATCTAAATAGGCGACAGGGTGCACTAAGGCAAAGTGTCAGTTTAGTAGTAAATCTGTGATAACTCGGTATCTAATAGTCCAATTGACACATATGAGGTAGCGTTAAAAAGAGGAGTAACAGGCCGATTTTTGAGATTTTTTAACAAATATATTGCAACTGGTGAAGCGTGTTTATAAAGCATTCTTTCCGATTTCAGAAATTTGTCGTCTTGCCAGTTTAGTAGCTTCCTTGACTTGATCAAACTATACATTTGTATACGAGAAAGGGCGGTACAGGTGCCAGGCATGTTGAGAAAAAGATACCCTTCAACAACATAAAGATGAAAGTGTATGACATAAAATGGTTTATTTGTTTATGCACGCCCACTAAACCCAGGCTTCCTGTTCAGGTTGAATCTACGTCTCCAACAAGGGCGGTAGTACCACAACTGCCATTTTGTTTTGTCCTACAGGTTTCTTGCGTCGTGAAGGCTTCGGCTTCGGCACTTGAGTCTCTTTCTCCAGGATTTCTCGAGTAAGTATGCGACTGGACGTCTTTGTTCTCCTCCGCTTCCTTGTGTTGCTCGGTCTTGGTGCACAATATCAGAGATCTTGACGAACGCTGTATCGCAGTAAGATTGAGGAATTCTGCTTGAAGTTTGCCAACGTGGCGTGCATCTTAGGACGCGAAAGCGGGCAAGCCGGTCACCTGTCGCTGGGAGGATCCAGTCTCTAATGTCGTTTTCAACGCTCTTCGAAAGCATTGGAGGCGGCCCACGACGCTTGGCTCGAGAGGCTGGTTTTTGCGTGCAGCAGCTACGTATTTCTTTCAGCGTGCTATGCCCAATCTTCATTAGTTTACTTGTTGCCTTTAACTCTGCGCCAGCGAGAACGGCTTAGACAGCGCATTGGAGCTCTGCTTTGCTGTATTTGGCGCGTATTTTCTCCATGGTGGAGAAGCGTGTGTGTGGCCACTGGCTACTGGCCAGAGTATAAATTGCTGGGGGAGATTAGGTGAAAATTCGCTAGCTCAATATTAAACAATTATGATCGTTGGCAGCGGTCTAGCTTAATATAACAGGTTAAAAAGGCCGAGGCTACTAAATTGATCGAGGCTACGAAACTGACACTTTCCTTATTAGATCATATTAAATATGCGCCTTGGTATTTAGAAAGTAGTGGCGCTGGTAAATCTAGATCCAACGTCACTTAGTCTGCTCGCACGACTGACGTAGCATTCCAGTGCAATGTGGTGGAGTTGGGGTCAATCCTAGAGTGTTTGAACGTGTTGTTGTTGTGACCGGCTCAAATGAAGGTAGCTGACAGTCCGCATCATCGTCAACAGTGCTGGCTGGGCAGTGCTCGTTTTGCTCGATACAAGGGGGGATGCTCTGCGCTAAAGCTTTCAATCAGAAGTGCCGTGAAGCTCTGGCATGTAGTGTCTCTGTGATAATCGTTTCTACGGGAATTGCGTCGAAAAACATCGTTGCAGATGTCAGTAGTTAGCTGTTCGGTAGTATTACAACCCCTATAGAGTAAGGGTGAGGCTCGCAAAACATCCTGAGCGGTGTTGCTGTCAGGAATAGACGTCAGCTGTAGCTCCGTTTTTCTTGTTAGCGAAAATATGTCGGCTTCGTCGTTCTGACCTGGACCTACCATGCTATTGCGAGGCAAAAGCTCTTGCGGGCGTAGGTGTGGGCATGCATTAATTCAGACGTGTTTGTCGATGTGCCATCAGAATTTGAACGCTCTAGATTTTCAATTTGTTCGTCCTGTTGACTGGTTGCAAGTGTACCACGTCGGTTTTGTCTTGTATATGACATATCTAGGGTGTATGGTTGACTTCCACGTATGCGAAAACCTAATTTCCAAGTGTTTCATGGCTGTAGGTGTCATAGTCGCGAAGTTATATATAGCTTCAACATATCACCATAGCGACATATGATTCGAGTTGGCTATTGCCTCGATTACCACGCTGAGAGTGATTTGACACAAATCAAGCTTCAGGAGTCGGTATGTCTGGACACGGTAATCCCAACTCCCGAGTAGCATGGATAATATGAACACAAATTGCAGACTTTGTGCTAAAAAGACATCCACTGTCCTAGTACTTGCATTGAAGAGCCATCTACCAAACGGCATATTTTCCACTGCATTCGTAAGACATGGATTTATATGGCTTGCAATGTTTTTGTTGTATCTTTGGCGTAAAAGGCATCAGCATCCAAATTCTCTGGTGTTCCGTACCGCTCACGGGGGTAGTGAAAGATTTGGACATGTTGTGCAGGAAGGTCAGAGCTTGCAGGCAAGGGCACCGCCTTAAGTTCCTTCTCTTGAAATGTCATTTTGTATAGTGATTTTAATCGTAGCGATACTGGCGCGACGCTATTAAAAGACGGCCGCGAATTCACAAAAACCAGTCGTGATTTGTCCAGGCAATCAAACATTTTAGCAGGCGTTGCCTTTTTCGACTTATTGGTCAGTTTTAATGTTCGATGGTACTGCTCTAATGGGTTATTAGTGTTGGCATATCCTGGTGGGGTGAGATATGCTTGCCAGGAAAAACCGAGGGTGCAAATTCTTTGACAAATAGTATGATCGGCCACAGATTGAAAGGAAGTACTGAAAGATGCAGCTGCACGCCAAGAGGACAGGACGTAGGATCGCTTAGATAAGAACTCTTCCTCATTTCTAGCGTAGTGAAGTTCGTTGAGATCACAAAATATTATGTTAATAGTCACTGGATCCAACTTGGCGTTGTCGACGTAGTCTTTTACGTTTTTACATACGTGGAACCAGCATATTAAGGTTTTTGCGCCCGGGGTTTCGGTAGCACAAGCGTTGTATTGGGCGGTATCTGCGTCCATCATCACGAAGGTTGGCGAAAAGCAAACCATGAAAATGTTCCAAATTACTCGCTTTAAAAATGAACAGCACCAAGCAATGTCAGGACCTGCTCTCCTCGAAATGCAAAAGTATACAATTGGGAAGAATGTCCCTCCACAGTCTGATATCCCAAATACAAACACGGGATAGCGCTGTTTTACGATGCTGTGGTGCTGTGAACATGCAGTTTCGTAGTATGGCGCAGGTCTCGTTGAATTTGGACGTAGTGATCGAGCAATGAATAGCAAGTATGCCCAACACGAAGGGCGAGCTGGATGATCCATTCCCCAACTTTGGAACCAAAGTGGATTCATTTTCATCTGAGTCACGTGACACCAATAGACCGTCACCAGATTCAGCGATGTGTTCCACTACACCGTACATGCTCCTTTTGCGCGAATCAATTACAGGTTGCGACGAGGCCCGCTTGTGACGAGTATGCCATGAATTCACAAACGCTCGAACTTGTGTATTAAATGGCGAAGGTCCCTCCATAGTTCCTTTTGTATTCGGTGACATATCAACCCAAATAATCCACTGGTCGGATACTTGCATCCTCACCCAAGCGCTACTCAATTAGGGATATCATGCATCAGCATGCTGTCTTGGAGACATCCGCGGTCGACGGCACCACCGTCTGCTGGCTCGCACAGCAGATGTGACGTCTGGTCGTGGTCGCACGCTCTTAGCCGTCCATGATCGGGTTCACTTCCTCAAGCCGCGGCATGCCCAGCATGACGAATATCCATCACGAACACTCCAGGAGTATAAAAGGTAAAATCGGGTATAATAATAGACAATGATGTCACTCGCCGAGAAATGACTGGTTGTTTTCCGCCCTCAAGGCGAATTGTCAGTGGCTGTGCATGCTCGTGGACAGTCAGTCCAACACGAGCAGCAACGCGCGGGTACACTGCATTGAGCGATGCGCCGCTGTCGATAAAGGTACAGACTGGCTGGTTAATAACCAGGTCGTTATTGTTGAAAGAAATGTTGGCGCATCAAGACCACGTCGTCGTTCTCGTAGTTAACGCAGCGATGACCGCCAACGGCTCGACGCTGTACTACCGCATAGTTGATAGCAGCCGCGTCATTCTCGGTTGGCACCCACCCACCGAGCCTCCTAGTTTTTTTAAGCTCCGGTGCCTGTAATATGACAGACGGG